ACCCCTTTGACTTGAATGAGGCAGTGTTGAGTCATGACAGCGTAACTATTATATCTGTTATGAAGGAAAGTACATTACAAAATTTAGGTAATGTTACTTTAGATTAATTTTTTACATTTTGTTTTTTTAGTTCAGTGTTCAAGAATAGAAATCAACCATTTCAGATAACTCAGCATTAATATCACTTGTTGCTATGTACACTTCTGTTAGTGCTGTGATGTCAAGTAACCTAAATATGTGATTTTACAAGTTAGAACAGATTATTTAACAGTCATGAGTACATAACTGTAATCAGAAATATTTTATTATGCCACAGGGTTATTCTGGTTGTCCTAATAAATATAATATCTACCATGAATGCACAGCATACTGTGAAGAGAAGTGGGAACAGGGTTTTGTTGAACCTGATTCAGTTTACATGCGCAAGAAACAGAGAATGCTGCTAAAATATCCATTGCCAGAAAATTGGGTTGAAGTGTATGATCCTGGCACGTAAGTTACATTTGAAATTGCATTGCAGTGTAGTTCATGTTTGATTTGGATAATTTTCCATATTTACTTACATAATTTTTGTATCCATTATTGTTTTTTAAAATGGTTTGTGTGATAATATTCATAGTCTTATTTGCTTACAGTTGGCTGGTTGACTTGACTGTCTGGTTCATAAGTCCTGTTACATTAAGGTTTATTACCCACTGTTGCTGGGAGCATGTCTTTGTCTGACCCATGAAGTTGGAAAGGATATAATCTCACTGTCACCCTCTGTTTTTGTATAGATGTGGATGAAGCCACTTGTAGTTTGTTTAACTTTTAGTCTCTCAGAATCTTACAAGGTGGAATTAGAGAAAATATGTTTAAATTTATTTACGTAAGTTAAGTGTTGGTTAGACCAATGTTGCTCTCAGTTCTTCCGTTTTATTGCAGATATAATTTTTATGTACATGAACAAATGCAGACTTGGGGATGGCATTAAAAAAGTGCATTCTGTTTGGACATGGCATCTGTGTTGAAGAAATCAAAGTAATAGCCCATGTGCATTTATTTTAACTGTGACCCTGAATAGAAGAGACTTCTTTGATGGATTTAAAATTATCCAAGTCTTCATAAGTTGGTGGACATAATGATTGAAATGTAGGAGTTTTGATGGTGTGCAATTAATAGGCATGTGATTGAAATGTAGGAGTTTTGATAATTGTTTTGATGGTGTGCAATTAATAGGCATTGTTGTTGTTATATCATCATCATCATCATCATAGTAGTGATTTACATGAAATAAGCTTAATTTGTGAAGGTATTGTATAATTTGTGTGTTTAGTGGTTACCAGAAACTTAAGGCATATTAAACATAAGATACATTCAAAACATTCTTTTGGGCCCTTTAGTAATATGGTACTGCAACTGAATTAATGTGAGTGAAACATGCACAATACTTGTATAATTATAATTAGGTGCCAAGTTTATTAAAATATATCAGAGAAGTAAAAAATGTTATGTAGAGCTTCATTTAGACCCTTAAATTAAATTTGGAGAGATGGATTGATAAGAATACCAACTAACAGATGTATTTTGTATTTTCTTAACACCACTAAATGTGAGATTGAAAAAAACAGTGTAATTATTGTAATATTAAATTTCCAGTGGTCGCTATTATTACTGGCATACTGAGAGTGATGCTGTATCATGGCTGTCTCCTCGACATCCTCGTGCAGTTATCTCTGAATCAGCTGCACATATTCGTGAGGAAATGCACATGGCTGAAGTTGATGATGATGATGAAGACGATGAAGAAGAAGATGATGATAAAGAAAGTGACATGGATGATGATGGAGAGGTTTGTTTTTATAAAGGAATGAGAATGTTATTACATAATAGCTGTAAAATATGTATGATTACAGAAATTGAATTAGGTAATGACTTTTGCACTGTCTCTAACACATTTCTAATGTAAGAAATCTGGCTGTTTGGTAAATATAAATTGTAATTTTTTTCCTTTATATTTGCTTGATTATTAAATGAAAATTGATGTCAGTTAGCTGTTTCTTCCTTCTGGTATTGCTGCTGTAAGAAATTAATTTAGATGATACTTCTTAACAATTTACAATCTAAGAAATGTGGGTGTTTTCTCAAAATTTGATACTCTGAGAAAAATTATACAACTCTTAACATAAGAGTAGCAAAAATAATAAACTCAAATACTACTTGGCTGTTAGTGGGACTTCATTCTGGGCTAGGTAAATAGTTTAGTGACATGTTAGTGTAGCCTTATCAAGATAAATCTGCCCTGATCCGTGTGAGGAAAAGGTGGGTTGTGGGAACTGACAGGCAAGGTGCAGGAAAGTGAAACAAATGGGGAGAGACATTTCTGTCTCATTTGCTACTTAGTCACTTTGTAGTCTCCAAGTTGGAAACATCCTTTAAATGTAATTTATGTGGATTCCAACTTATTCTTTTAACAATCCATAAATTCATTAAGTTGCCATTATTTCATGTTAGAATTTATGGATAATTTTCACAATGTACAATTAAGTATTTCTGTTTTGAACCTTGAAATGTGCCATGTACATGGTGAGTATGTTTGTAATGCTTACTAACCTGCATTGTGCTGTAGGCAAGTGATGAAGATTCAAGAGAAGAAAAGCGAAGAGAGGAACAGGAAAGAAGAAGAGAAGCGAGAGAACGACATAGAGCAAAGGGACGCACAAAAGTTAGAGACAATGACATTGACCCAATGGATCCAGCTGCATATTCAGACACACCTAGGTAACACCATTTACTGTACTCAGAATTGCATTAGTTTATATAGTGCCTTGTGATAGGATAATTAATGATGGTTTAGGAAGGATGTGGATTGAAATAGTCATATCATATTTTAAAGAAATATGCAAGCATTTGTGTGGACTTATTGAGGAAAATCATGGAAACAAAGACAGTCTCCTTATTAGGATTATGTTTATTTTTTTTTTATTTTTTTATGGTTTATTTCACAACACTCAGTTGCGTAGAGCAGTGGTATTCAACCTTTTGGTTCGTGTATTCCCCAGATATAATTTCTCTTCAACTTTGTACCCCCAAAGTTGTAGGTGTATAATTCAAGTTATACATAGTATAAAATCTACATCTAAAATAAACTAAATAAATTACATTAATGATTATTCAGTGTTTATCATAAAATAATATATATATATTTGTTTTAAATTTCACGTACCCCCAGGGGTACGCGTACCCCAGGTTAATACCACTGGATTAGAGTGTATAGTGTCAAATGAATGAATATTGAAGGGTAAAGGATGTGAATTTAAGGTGTGTCCTGTCATTGTTCTGGAGGGCTGACTTAGATTCAGTATGGTGATCTGCTGAATATGAAACAGGCATGAGATATGTGAAATGATTCAGATGTCTCTGTTAGGATGGGGCCTGCTGTCTTTGTAGATAGATTTATATTTTTCACTTGACGAATATCCTTTTGCATTCTGGTTCAAGACTATGCTAAATGAGTTACACCCAACTTCCAGCTGATTTGGTTCTACATTACTGATTGATAGCTCTGTTTTTTGTTTTTATTATTGCAAATAGGTATGTATGGCTTATTTTTGTAGAGGGACTTGGTCTACTGGTTTGGGGAAAAAGAATGAAGCAAAAACTGGTGCTGACACAACAGCAGCGGGACCCCTATACCAGATGCGACCTTATCCAAGTCCTGGAGCTGTGCTTCGAGCAAATGCCAAGAGCAAACCTCATTCAGAGAAGACAAAAATGCATCCAGAACTACCACCGAAGTAGACATACAGTATGTAAATTCGATGTCGGAGCTTAAATTGCACATCATTACGACATAAGACAGGAAATATTAGCATGTGGTTATTGCATACGAATTTGGTGTCGTACAAACTGCATTTTATATCCCTGTGGAACCAGTGTTTTATGAGTAAATACAGTCGTCTTAGTTAGAGTTTGAGAATTAATTTCCCCTTTTTAAAATTAATTTTACATTGGTCACAGATACGTGTTATAATATGAATGTGGTACTATTTGTATTTCATTATTGTTTAATTTAAGTAGTATAAATGGAGATATTTCTTTATTTATGAGTAATTTAACAGAAACATAATTATTGGAAATTTAAAATAAATTAAAATGTTGAACGTTTTGTAATTCCATCCTGATTGGCCCATTCATTAAGACTTACCTTCCTGCCATCCTATATAATCCTTCTCATTCTCAGCATTGTCACCTCAGCGTTAAAGATAGAGACAGTACATGTCTCTGAAATGTTGGCATCAACCAACCAGACCACATCATGCCAGAATCCAAAAGAACATTATCATCAACACTCGTTAGAGAAGTGGACATAGATATTTGGAAAGTGAAGTAAATTAAAAATAGTTTGAAATTATATGAGGAATAATGTTGAACAGGTTTAAAAAAAGTAAATTTAAAAAAACTTTTACATTTAACACCATAACATGGATCTTTGTAAAGAGAAACAAAGGCACAAATCAATAAAGGAATATGACATTTTTTAGAAATATTGAAAGGGAAACAATGGGATAGAATTTTCATAAAGTGTTCAGAGAGGCCAAAATCAAAAAAAAAAAATCTTAATAGGAATAGAAATTATTACAATAGTTTAGAAATATAAAGAGAATGCATCGAATGAGAGTACTGAGAATGCGTTAGTATCAAAGTTTGAAGGAACGATACTCGTGGGGGTGATGCAGAACAAAATGATAAAGCGAGGTTCTAGAGTACATCAAAATGAGTGGAAAGAGGAGGAAAGAGATTGAAAAGAAAGATTGTGGGTGAGTAAGGTAAATTGGAAATTAATGCATTGACCCATATAAAATGGAAAGAATGTTAGAAGAAGAATGCCATTTTAGTTATGACTAAGGTTGTTCCATAGTTTTTCTTTTATGGTTCTTCTTGCCCCTCTCCATCCTTTAGGGCACAGAATTGCAAGATCTGTTGACATTAGAACTGTGAGATTGAAATGCTATTCCTTAGGTTATTACATGAACAAATCCCCATAATTTGATTACACTTGTTAATGTCTCGTTTCCTAAAACTACATACTAAAGCAATTGAGGTTAAGACAGGCCTACAAATATTTCTGTACTTGTTATTTCAGCAACTAAAGTTAAATTTATGTATCCACGTTCAATAACAGAGCATGTAGAACCATAAAGCACGAAACATTTTATATATGTTTCCGAAAGCAGAAAATATTTTTTGTAACAGTATGGCGGGCAAAATGTAAATTGTGTTTGGAAGGGGAGACATGTAGGTACTATATGTGGGTTAATCTATGGGTGGGATTATGTTATTTACGGTTGTATGTGTGCAGGAGGGTGTGAGAATGGTGGTAGGCAATTCACAGTGGTAATATATGTATGTGGCAGATGTAAAGCGTCGTTAAATAAATACTTCACCGTCCGTTGTACATAATTCACGCTGCTCATGAGAGTAGATAAGAAGAAAACGTATGGTTCTTACGGGGGTTATTTTAAAATTAGTTTTTTAAACATTACTTAATGACTTCATTTTTCGTAGGCTTCTGTAGTTTCGTGATGTAGGTTTTCTGTACTAATTCCTGTTAACGTTTTGTCAGAATTTAAATTTGAGGTTATGTTGCTGTGCATTGTCTAGGTTCTACAGCGTGTGAAGCAGACCTTCGGTTTCATATCTTATCAATCATGAAGTAAAATCTAGAATTAATAACGCTCTATTCAGTGTACATTATGATTTGCATGAAATTAATTTAATTGCTCATAGAGTGACACATTTTATATTTCGGAAAAGGATTTTCGGTTCAAAAGTCTGCAGTCAGTTCATCCTGCATTGCTTGTTCATGGATTAGTTTGTTTTGGGTTAGGTTAACTCTTCCTTAGGACTGTCTGTTATAAATATTGGATTTGATGCGATTCACATAAGCAGACTGCAGTCGGCACATTTTCCGTTTTTTCTTTCCTTTAGCATGGTATCTATTACATCACTTTTGGCTCAGAAAGCTGGAAGTTCTTACACGACTTCCCCACTTATCGCTTTAGCAAGTATAGCAACTAGTGTGGTGACTAATAAAGTGGGTCCAACATTTTACAATCGAAACCCAAGGAACTTGGAAAGACTGCGAATTGCTTGGAGGCCTACTGGCTATCATTTGGAAGTTCCAGGACGAGAATTTTGGCACAAGTATGTACATACGCACTTACGTTACAAATACTTTGCTTAATCACTGCTTCGTTAGACTTTTTATTTTAATAAGTTCATGGATTCTTTTTCTGGACAGTACCCATTTTAATTGTCATTGTTTGTTGGATAAATTATTCGGAACTTCATGTGTACAAATTTTAAATATATGTTTTAGGCAGTGTATATTGAAACACTTCAAATTGTGCATTGATTTGTTCAGTGTAGCATATTAAATCTTTTTCCGTTTAGTTTTTGTTAGTACAAAATACATTGGCTGTATAAATACATTTGAAATATTTCTAAATGTATATTTTAGACTACATGCCATCCTTACTCTGAGATTCAGAATCTGCAATCTGTTTACATCTAAAAGAAGCCATGGTTATCACTTAATGTGACAGTGCTGCCTACAAGTTGGTAAAATTTGAGAAACAATGATATGTCTTTTGACTTCTTATGGGAGAAATACTAAAGGTCTGGAAACAAATTTGTTACTAACAAATGCATGATTTCCTGCAGGTTGTTATTGGAACAAAGCCCTCACCATGTGACTGCAAAAATAGTGCATTATTCAGGATTAGAAGTAGTCACTGCTTCAACAAAGGAGTGGGCCGTCAAGAAGTTCTTGTATAGGTAATGTGCTCATAAGGAAAAGTGCCATAGAATAACAAAACATGTTAAATGGTTGAAGGCCACTAAACTTGAAGACCTTGAAAATGTGTTGATAGAGCAAGTGAATGTAATAGTAATAAAAAAGCAACACATTACCTCTTCATTACATTGCATGGATCCATAAGCTAGCCAAATGGCAATAGGATGTGCAGTAAGTCATCATGGGGTTCATCTGTAATGAGATTCATACTTGGTAGATAACATCTTGCAGAAGAAAATGCTTGAAATAAAACTATGAAACAGTTTACACATTAATAAAACCTTTCCAAAGTAAACAATAATTTGAAAACATTGTTCTTATTACAGGTCATTTCTTATCCTTTGGAACTTTAAAAAAGAATTATGTTGTTTGTTGTATTATGTAGCAGATGAAAAAAAAATTTCTGCTTAAATATTATATGTTCATGTGAGTGTTGAATATTCTGCTGAGCAAACCAACACTTTTCATCATTCTAATGGCACTTCTTTTGTATCTGCAGCACTAAGGATACATCTGCTTTCATGAACCTGGCACGCGTGTTTGCTCAGCGATGTTTGGAATCTGGCATTTCAGAAGTTTGTTGTGACTTGAAGCCTTATCCGGGAGGAAAGGTTAGTCAGATCAGTTCAGTATATAGTTGCAGGAAGCTGTTTATGTATTCTGGGGGCATTGAATTCTGATTGCTTCATTTGGAGAGGTCGTACAATCATACCATTACTGATTATGAGTGACATTTTGGATACCCTTACTCAGAAAGTTTAAAAGGCTCCAAAAACAATCTGTCTTGGGGGGTGGGGGGGAAAAAAAGATGGAAATGCATATTATTCAGTCTTGATGGGGTAATTCTGAATGAATTAAACATTCTAGTTTGAGAATATTTCAATACTTTTTGGACAACTTTAAAGTGTCTGATGGTCATGGCCCCCTGGTTACTGTTCTTTTGCTACTGAAGCCTGCAAATTGAAATGTGTTTGCTTTAAATAATGAATAACAAATGTACATTTTTCAGGGAATATCTTATACCAGGTAATTAAAAATTTTGTTGTAGCTGGTGATACACAGTGCAGCATCTTTCTGTCATTTTGTCTTTGTTTAAGGTCGAATCTTTTCTTTTCTGTATGGAAGAAGGTGGCATGACATTGGCAGAGCCCCCGCGGTTCAAACCGCATCGGCCATGGCACGTGGATCGCCCTGAGAAACCTTGGGAAGTTACAGAGTGATTGAGTTGTAGGAGACTTTCAATGTTGTTGTTTAGTTTTTAAACATTGATTTATGTAACTGTATAGGGCATTGCGTGCATTTCCAGTATGATGAGTATACTTCAGAGATCAGTAGAATAGTTGTATGGTACAGAGTCTGTAACAAAATGAAGGTCCATATGAAGTAAGTGGATTCAGTTTTTGGTGAGAATAGATGGTACTTTATTTCTTGACTTGCTGAAACACATTATACTCACAGGATTTGTTTGGAATTTTTCTTGTAACTGTTGTTAATGTAGCCTTTATGAATAAATGGCAAAAATAATTTTGAAATGTTACTTTTATTTACTACTTAAAAATAAATATAATTGTTCTAAGTGCAGGATGTTTTACTGTGTTGAGATTCTTTATTTTTAATTTATGGCTCTTTATCTTCAATTTCATAGCTCCCCACCAGTGTTTATGGATACCTTTTGGTGTACTGTATATCCATCACATTCATATTATTTACAGAGTTCATCAGCTCCATTACAAAAAGAATCCAGTACCTCTTAAAACTAATGAAACTCAAATTTTCAAAGTTGTGTTTCTGTGCCATGGTTGTGATGGAGTGGTGCAGTGGCTGTGATACACATCAGAAAGCCTGTTCTGCTTTAATATGTGCCAATTTTCTGTTAGTGAACATTGGTGAAGCTGATAAAACGAGTCCAGTCATTGCCAAGAACGGAGCAAGTTTTTCTGCAGCACCACGGATCAGGATTGTGAAACTGAGATATTTGAATTCTTTGGGGGGGGGGGGGGTGTGGTTGGAATTGTTGATGTTGGATAGATATTAACACCTTTACCGGTTGAGCTCTCGTCAGAGAGTAGCTGGCTGTTATGCTATAGTTCCATAATAGCTGCTCATAGATGGCAAAGAGAGCACAGGCTTTCGGTTTGTGCTGTAGAATATTTGTGTGTTGGTATTAATTTATGTAGTGTGGCCTAGTAACCGACCACGTGCTTACTGGATATTTTGTTGCATTGAGGATAAAACAACATATTCTGTGTAGGATTTGAAATCGTCACGGCGGTAAGAGTATTGATGGCTGTTTTCTTTGTTGTAGTGTCATATAGTCTGGTAGAAGTTCACCAACGTTTCAGAGATCGTTAATGCTTCCTTTCTCAGGGCGATGAATAAACAGCTGTCTTCCAGCATTATATATATGCTGATATCTTTTTCAGTTTCTCAGGTGGCGAGTATGAAGGTCTGTGATATTATGCCATGTGATGTAAAAGTTGACGGATGTTTCAGATGTGCGTACTGCCTCCATCATCAGGTTCATGATTCTTGATGATGATAGCATCTCGGAAACATTGGCCAACTTATATGCGACTTCTTCTTCTATGGCTCTAATGTCCGTATTATGTTTCCCTATATGCGACTACATGGAGCAATGTCCCAAAAGGCTGTCATTTTGATATTTATTAAATGTACTGCCTGATATAATTTTGGGGTGTTGGTGCTAGAAGTTATAATCTTATTGTTGGTACATATATTTCTATTACAACCTTACGAAGTGTGGTTATGGCTTCAAGTATAGCAACCAATGTTGCCAATTATAGTGCAGTAACTTTGCCTCAAATGATGTCTACGTCCTTGGGCCTGGACCAGCATTTTCACTTATGTTGTATACCACCTTGAAGATAGAGATGATATGTTTCTTTGGAACATTGGTAACCACTAATCAGCAATAAGACTGCCCAGCATCACAATGCAGATCACAGTTAACGTCTTTATTGCTTTGAGAATATTAACTCTTAGCCTGTGTGTTGTATTTCTGCATGTAAAGTTAATTCTCTTTTATAAATTGACTTCCCTTCTTTTTGGCCTGTTAGATTCACTGCCCTTCAACCTAGCGCGCTTACTTTATTTTGAAGCTGTCATCCAGAATTGCCAATAAGAAAAAATGAAGCTGTGTTACATAGAAGGATCATGTGCATTACATTCTTTACATGGATCTCATGCAAGCATTAATTCATACCCAAAAGAATTTTAATAGTATGAATGACTAATGCAGATTATATCTGGCAAATTTAAAATACTGTGTACCCATACCAGTTGAAAGCACACACAGAAATGGATCATTAAATTAAACAGTTCAAAATTGTAGTTAATCCTAGCTTTGCCATATAGGTTGAAGTATTTTAAAGAAAGAACCTTTTAGAACTTGTTTACTTATTAAATTAATAAGTTTGTCTTCTGTTTGCTGTTTCAGTAATGGTTGAGCCTGTGGTATTGGTTCATGGGGGTGCTGGAGACATCCCGAATTGTAGAGTTGAGCCAAAACTGGCTGGTGTTCGGAGGGCTGCCAGGAGAGGGTACAGTGTACTCTGCAAGGGGGGGTCAGTTATAGATGCTGTGCAGTCAGCAGTTCAAGATATGGAGGATAATGAAGCTTTTAATGCAGGTCTGTACTAAATTCAAAATGTAAAAATTATTTTTAAATTACATGTGCACTAGACATCAAATTGTCTGCACATTTAAAAATTTTAAGGGAATGGATCAAAAGAGAAATAAGTAAACTCTGTTTTATTTGTTGGAGTAAAGTATTAATGAAAATTGAAATACCAAACAGAGTTTTCTAAATTTAAGCTGGGACATAAACACAGTTATAGTTTTCCAGAAAGTTTTGGGGTTCTTAGAACACTTTATTGGTTTATTATATTGTTAACTGCTTGTCCATACTATCAGTTCTAATAAAATTTGAACTAAGAAATGGATTTTCTTTAAATTTTATGTTAACAAGATGCTGCATATTTTTAATTACAGGATATGGTTCTGTTCTAAATATTGATGGTGAAGTAGAGATGGATGCCATTATTATGGAAGGAAAGGAATTAAAGACAGGTATGTGTAGTATGACTAGTGGCCATCCCAAATTTGTATTTATTATTTTTCTGCCAGCCTTATACTACTGTGATGATTATATGAACATTTGGGGTGGGAGTAACATTAGGTGGTAAAAGAACCTTGCTTATGTGATTTTCTATAAGCCTGTGTTCACTCACACACATATATACACACAGGCTGTGATTAAGTGAATTTTGTTCTTAAGAAGCCATTAAATATAAGCTGTATTTCTGGGGTCCTGGCTGTTATATTAATTTTGTAAATAAATATGTGAATATGCTCCAGGCTCAGTAGGTGCTATAAAAAATGTGGCACATGCAGTGGATGTGGCACGTCTGGTGATGGAGAAGACATGCCATGTGATGCTGGTTGGTGAAGGGGCAAAGCAGTTTGCCAATGAACAGGGGGTTCCTGATGTACCCATTGGACAACTGGTCACAGAATTTGCCAGTCAGTCTCTTGAGGAGGTAAAGAATGGGGGTGTGACTGCAACAACAGAGCTAGGGTATGTAACTGACTTGTTTCAGCTCATGTGTAATATACTGAGCTGGAAAATAAAAGCCCTCAGCACCATACGCATGAGAAATGATTATTATTTCTTACAAAGCTGTGTATAAGAAAAATCTTTGGGGAATGTCAGGTTACAGAACATCACATGTAGGGCATTATTCATATATAAATAACTCTCTTGTAACAAAGTCCAAAAATTTAGGCTGTGTACAGATACGTATTTACATAGGTGTTTCTACAATAAACTTCCCCCTGACATTATACATGCAGACATGTTGAATTAATTATCATGATGCAAGTTAAATATGAACATAACAAGAAAGTATAATGTCGAAATTATCATGAACTGTATTTATAATATTTATATATGAATCGCTGTCCCACGCCGTAGCCACGTGGTCTGAGGCATCATGCTTCGGACCGGAGATATGGAATGCGCGCTGGTTTGAGTCTCGGGGAAAGAAATTTCTCATGAGATTTTCGACCGGTGTATGGGACTGGTGCCAACCCAGCATCGTGAGGAAATTGGAGAGCTACGATGGGTAGAGTAATTCGGTCATGAAAACTAGCAGTGGCTCTGTATCTAGTTGGATGATCATTCACCTCTGCTTAGGCATGTGAATGTGAGGCCAGTGGCCAGCTAGTCAGCTTTGGCTCCCAGAGGGCTGTCACGCCATGGATTATTATATATGAATCAATATGAATTACAACATATTTATGATTAAAAATAGAGGGTGATTTGCAAGTAAGTTAAATCAGAAACAATGATAAACAATATATGTTGATTTATTTTTCCCCTTAACAGATATGTGAAATACAAATACTCTCAATTTTAATGTGCAGTATTAGTGTATGAGCAGAGGGGATATACAGACCTAATATACCAAAGCTCACTCTGGATATTACATACAATATATATATGAAAATATTGATTTATGCACTTTTTCCTGTTATCTGCAGAAACGTAGATAACTTGCACTCCCAAAATACATTGTTCTTGGCTTTTAATCTTTTAATTTATTATTGATTATTATGGTTGCTTATTATGTGTTTTTATCATGGAATCACTATTTTACATTCTTTCTATGATTTTAATTTTCATGTGTTTTGTATATTTGATGATGTTTTTATTACTTGTGTTTCTTTTCCTCCTCCACCTTATTTTTCTTCTAGAATTGTTTTCTTTTTATTTGAGGAATAGTGTTTTTATTGTTGTTCGTATGAAACTAAAGAACATTTTCCAATTTTTGTTGTTATCAGTTTCTTCAGTATGTTGATATGATTTTAAATTCAGCAAAAAACATAGCCTCCTTTGAGGACACTTTCTCTATATGGGTAAGTGTCAAGACTGATTATTTGTTTTAGTTTAATTTTTTTATATATGTACTTCAGTTAATGTTGTATAATTTTGTTAGTGTTAGTCTGTTATAGGCTCTCTGCTGTTGGCAAACACTTCAATAATAGAATTAATTTGAAAACAAATGGCTGAGAATATCATGTTCCTGATCATATAATTAATTATGAAGATAAATTATTATTCTTATAATAATATTTATTTGCCATTTACATTATTCCTCAGTAACAGTTTGTTTCTCTGCCCTAAGTAAAACACCACATGCCTGAGTAGTAGACCTGCAACTTGGTAATGTGTACTAATATGCACTTCCCACTTGAAAGGGCTGCCATCAGACCTAATGATTCTGGTTTATCTGTGTAGTATCTGACACCTGGCATTCATCATTATCCATTAAAAACAGTACTTAAAGAGAACCACCTAAACATTTTATTTCCATAAAAAAATTAACAATTTTAATTTTAGAAAATGGCGAGAGGAACTACTCACTACCAAAAGGAAATATAAACTGATTCTGAGTGGTTTATTTGTTACCACACGAATATCCTTTTTATGGCACACCTGGAAGTCACCCATCATAATCTGTGAGGAAATAGAAGAAGTTTGCAGTACAAATTGTGAAGTCCTGTTATGACACAAGTTTCTTCAATTTACTGATGTCGTGTGTATATTCATTTGCAGTGGTGTGGGTACGGTAGGAGCAGTGGCAGTAGATGCAAATGGCCATGTTGCTGTGGCAACTTCAACTGGTGGTATAAATGGTAAACTGGTG